AGACAGCAACTTTCCTATCATTTAATTTTTTTGTCTGACAGTCATACTCCAAAGTAATTATTAAACAATGGATATGAGCAATCTTTATCAACAGGATGATCTGTAAAACCTATGAAAATGCAGGTAAAGGATAAAATCTATGCACTCCTTCACATTTTCTAAAGCCGCACAGTGGGCCGCATACATGTCTTCGCTGGGCTGATTCTGGCCCTTGGGCCTTATGTTTGACACCCCTTCCTTAACAAGATTGTGAATGCCTAACCATTTATTTTTCTTTTTGTTGACAGAAAGTAGTGACTGCTTTGGACAAGACTTGGCATCCAGACCACTTCTTCTGCGCTCAGTGTGGAGCCTTTTTTGGTCCAGAAGGTACCAGCACAGAGTCTTTGGCACGTGTTGAACTAGAATGCTTTCATTATTATTATAAAAAGAAGAGTGCAGTGTGAATCGGTGATTCTTTGCTTCTCTTCTAGGTTTCCATGAGAAGGATGGAAAGGCGTACTGCAGAAAGGATTACTTTGACATGTTTGCCCCTAAATGTGGTGGATGTGCCCGTGCCATCCTTGAGAACTACATTTCTGCTCTTAACTCGCTCTGGCACCCTGAATGCTTTGTCTGCAGGGTGAGTCACCGGGTGTATCTGCAGTGTGTTAGAATCAAGAGAAGCCTCTCCACAGAGCACTTTTGTCATTAAAAACATCTGCTGTGTCTTCCAGGAGTGCTTCACGCCATTTATAAATGGCAGCTTCTTTGACCACGACGGCCAGCCATACTGCGAGGCTCACTACCACGAGCGCCGTGGCTCGCTGTGCTCTGGCTGCCAGAAGCCCATCACCGGCCGCTGCATCACAGCCATGGGCAAGAAGTTCCACCCCGAGCACTTTGTGTGCGCCTTCTGCCTCAAGCAGCTTAATAAGGGCACCTTCAAAGAGCAAAATGACAAGCCCTACTGCCACGCCTGCTTTGTTAAGCTCTTCAGTTAGACTCTGTGCCTGTGTGCCAATGTGTGTGTACATGCGTCTACACGTTTAATGTCTAAATGCACATGTGGATGTATGTGCACTTGTATGTCTATGTGCATCTATGAGTCAGTGGTTTTTCAGACAGGAGGCGTTAAGGTGAGAAATGTTTCCTGACTCTTAACTCCTGATACTGGAGGGACTTTCCGGGTTGCCCAACCTCTTAGGTTTGGCCTTTTACACTTTTACTAAAGAGATTTTTAACAGAGCCCAAAGAGATTTTTATTTTACTCCTGTGCTTGACAGGATAAGGGAAATTGTTGTTTTTTTTTTGTTTTTTTTAAATTTCCCCTTCTGTGTCTGTGTGTGTGTGTGTGTGTGTGTGTGTGTGTGTGTGTGTGTGTGTGTGTGTGT